AGTATGAAAATTTTTGTTACATAGCGAATATGACGTTGCAACAACCACCACCTGGCGTTGTACTAGGAGCGGATCGTTCAATTATGCCAGTAGTCTCGGTAGGCGGAGTTGGAGTTGGGGTTGGAATCGCTGCTACATCGCAAATGAATCCAATGCCACAAACTGCGATGTCGACTATGCAGCAACTTCCTTTACCGGTATTACTTACTATGCCTATTCGGAAATCAAAGGTCTTGTGAACATTTATTTATGTTGCATAACTATAAGATAATAATAAAATTTTTTATATTTTTTCTCTATATCATGCAGAATTAAGAATGGTAATGAATACTCTTTTTTTTTAGACTCTTAATCCAACGATTATTGGCAATCAAATAATAAGCGGTGCGTCGCAGGTTCAAGCGATGCCAATCGTGAATGCAACGCAGGATCAATCAACGCACGATAACACCAACTCGGCGATAATGATCACGTCGCCGGACCGTAATTCGCAGGCTGAGTGCTCCCTGATATTGCCATCTACCACGAATTCCCCGTTAATAACTGATGATAGCGTAAAGCTAGCTGCAAAGAAAGAAGACGTACCTGTCCCTACGGAAGATATCACGGCACCACTTCAGTCAGAAATAACGGGTATTGATTTCATTTTATTAATAAATTTATTAGGTACAATTCATGCAGAATGAAGATATAAATGGTTTTGTGTCCGTTTATATACAGATGGAGATCAATGTAAAACGGCAGTAAAGGACGACGAAACAATTGCTCCAAAAGTGGATGAGAAACAGTGCAATAACCCGTTAACAGGGCTTGCCAATACAGTGAACGCTATTACGAATGGTGTTGTGGTCAGCGATGACTCACAAATCATACCTATCTCCGCAACAGTCATAATGAATAATAATAAACAAGCGCCACCTAAAGCCATGGTGAAACCGCAGGTTCTTACACATGTGATAGAAGGATTTGTGATACAGGAAGGTATAGTCGCTTCTCTTTTATACATATTTATCAATTATACGTATTAATTGTCACATTAAATATTACTTTCACGAATAATATTAAACATCAACATTTTTCTTATCTATGTTACAGCGTCAGAACCATTCGCAGTGAGTCAAGAAACTACTAATATCCTTAATCGGAATAACTCGATCACAGAAAAAGAGATACACGAAGAGCCTCCAAGTAAGTAAATTATTCTCACAAATAATTAATGCAGCGTTTTAAGTTCAAGCTAATATAAAATCTTGACTACAGAAAAGAAACTTTGTTCTTCTTATTCGAACGAAGAGGATGTAACCAGTGATCAAGATAGTAAATGCGAAAGCTGCGGTAATACAATTGATGAACAGAATGTTAGATTAAAGAAAGAAAAGCGATTCTGCTCGTCGATATGCGCAAAGAGGTGAGAGCATATTTTATAATAGTAAACATGGTACAGTGAATTATTTCTAAATATTTTCTTTTGTAAATTCTGTTTAATAAAAAAATGTATCGTCTTATTACAGTAAAAAACGTGAAGCGCGAGAGCGCGATGTTATGGAGAAACAGTGGATTGAAATAGAGACTGAAACTAAAACCGTCGAGAATGACGCGACAAAGAAAAACGGCGAGGATAGGTCTTTATCTGCGACTACTACATCCTCTATTGATGAATCACTGCCGAAAGTGAATCCGATTAAATGGACGGTAATGAGATATTTTTATAAGATTTTTCACTTAAAAAATATTTCAATATCTTCAATACGAGCAAAATTGTAAAAAATACGCATATTTCATGCAGGTAGGTGAAGTATGCGAATTCATACGCGGTCTACCAGGATGTGCTGATTATGCAGAGGATTTTGCTATCCAGGAAATTGATGGCCAAGCTCTTATGCTACTGAAAGAAGACCATCTTATGTCGGCGATGAGTATCAAGTTAGGTCCGGCATTAAAAATTGTTGCCAAAATCGATTCAATGCGCGTAGAATCGAACTTAAATCCTTCGTCGAATAATTCATAACCGTTCTATGTATCAGCAATAGATTTCCACAATGTGTTTCCAGAACGTTTCTAGCCTATGAACTACAGGGCTTGTGCAAGTATTTGATTGAATGTAAATGTACAGGATTAAACGTCTTAATTGCGTGAAGTATCTGAATGGATGAACGATTTCCATTGTTATATTTTATTAAATTTGACTGTTTGCAACGGCAACCTTCCTTCTGGCTTATGTCTTTTAATTTTAGTTATACAATTTATTTCAGTTTTTGTAGGTGAATTACAGAAGAGATGAAGTAATATCTATTTTCTATTATTTTTAATGTATGGACGAAAGTAAAAGAAACAGTTTGTGTAAACTATTTGTATTTTATTTTATGATAAAAAATGAGGATACACTTGTATACTATACGTATGGAGGATACTCGTGAATATATAACAATAGACCTTTAAAGAAAAACTCTGTGTAACATAAAGTCGGTTTTTGAAATTTCTTTAAAATGTGCATTATTCAAAAGTATCATCTATACGTATTATTTATAATTTAATTTTTAATATATTTAGTCAGTTTGATAATCTAAATGAATTTAAAAATATTGCCGTTTAAAAATATCCTTTTTCCCTTTAGGATTATATTATCAAATACGTTTATTTTACGCACAAAAATCTAATTTAGATGGAAACATAATTGTACTCTCGAGATAATATTACATTATAAACGCATGGAAATTGTTCAGTTATAGCGTATTTCAGGGTTGACACTGATCAATGTTCAAAGATATACATTGATACATATGTATACACACATAATATCATACAATGATCATAGCAATATCATATGATTATTGAATGATTTTAAGAATCCTAACGATCTATAGGATGTTTAAAAAGATTTCATTTGACATATAATGTCTATATGAATGTTTTCTCAAAGTGCACTATTTTGTAAAGCTGGAAATGTCAAAGAATAGAGTACAAATTGTGTCCATTATGCAAGAACATATAATGTATATATAAAATAGTGCAGTACACTGTATTTTGTACTCAAGAGTAAATACTATCGGTTGATGTACAAAATGCATTGCCTTCTATGCAACTTGCAGAGAGTAGCTTTTTTAGTTACTATCTTATTAAGAATGTTTTGTTACACTGGAACGATGATTTTTGATCGCCTTTTACGTTGACATTGGGGAAAAAAAGAAACTGCCTGCTTATCATTTCATTATGTGTTTTTTTTTTTAAATATAAGACGTATACTCATTCGATACAAGTGTAAATAGTAGATGTAAGACATTGTAAGACATTTATTTATTGTACAAATTTTACGATATGAAATTTTAATTGCTGAGAATTATCCCTCTATTATCACGAGTTCTTTACTAGACATAATAAAAAAAAGGGATTATCTTATCGTATAAGAGAAATTATTCTGAAAATTATTTGTCTTTAATATAGTACATTATGATGACGTAATAAGAAATTGTCACTATTTTTAGTGTCTTTTTAATAAAGTAAAAATGGACGATATATAATTTTTAATACATCAACATATTGGCATGTTCTTAAAGGAATGTAAATATATACGAATTTATACAACAGTCAATTTTGAGATTAACCAAAGGTTGCTGCTTTTATATATTTCTTATTGTAATATGAATTTTATACGTATTTGGATATCATGCAAATCAACTGCGAGATGTGTTCCAAATTTAATAGAATTCATTACGTTTAAAATAAACAATGATTTCCATTGCGTTTTGTGCAAACGTTAAATGTAGTGATAGATGTTTTTTTGTATGTTGTGAGAGAATCTTAGTAGAAGTAATATTAAGCTCCTCAAAAAAAAAACATCATATGTATCATACATTACTAAATTTATTCCAAAAGCTATTTATGCCTATTAATAGAAAGTAGAGTCTCTATGGAAATAATGGAAATAAAAATATTCGGTGCACCTTGTAAAGGTTTGTTCCAAGTTCAGTTGCACCGAACAATGCGAGCTTGTCAATTCTGCCTCGCAGAATAATTATCTTCCATATTATATTAATTAAAAAATGTTTACATGCCTTTCTATAAGATTCTTACATTAAAAAAAAGCTTATAGTTTAGATACATGACAATTTAATTATAATTAGTGCTAATTGAAACTGGTGTCAGAATTGTGGCTGACATATAAGTTTCATGAATACTGAAATTTTAGCTACAAATTTAAGGTTCAAAATTCAACACCGTTTTCGGCGAAGTTTTCTCAGGGCTAAATGTTTCACAATATACTTTTTATATAATGGAGAGACAAACTTTGCAATAATATAATATTAAATTATTTTATATTGGGGAAGCAGGGATTGAGGTAACTGCAATTAAAATTTCTCAAATAAAGAAAATATAATAAATTATGAGTCAATTAATCATAGGATATTCCTGCATAATATTAATTAAATTGAGTTATGATGTATATTTTCTCATAAATGACTTACATTTCTGTTTTTTTCTACAATCTGTAGTTTATTGTAATTTATCATCTAATATGATTTAAGGCTTGGCTTCTTGATGATATAAATTTTAATAATAATGGTACATTTTTCAGCTATTAAAACCACTGCGCCACTATTATTTTAGAAATTTTACATTTTCACATGACATATCAGACAGATGTCTCTGTCATATATTTCACAGGTGTCAAGATTATAAAATTGTTATATTTTTAAGGAAAAACTAAAAAATAAAACTGTACATAACAATTAGTTTATTGCATGTCATTTCTTGCTTCTGACATCATACAATCAATCTGGCACCTCGAAAAAGCCGAGCCTTAAAAAAATATAGATTATTGAAGACTTATAATTCAAAATATGATACATAAGATACATGGTCATTGCAAAATTAATAATAAATAAAATATCTAAAACTATATCTGTTACACAAAATAAAGCTATAAAGTTTATTTACAATAAGCATTTTAGCAATTTTAATGTATATATACGAATATATATATATATATATGAACATGAGGCTTATCTACATGAGTTTATTTACAGTCCTTAAATGTAGACTATAAATATATTCATTCTTGAAAATACATTGCTCAGCATTGTATCACTCACTATATTCATTTTTTTTACTATATGTGAAAAGAATTGCTTACACATACATCTCGACTGTGTGACAACATGTTGTCCTATGACAAATTTTCCGATGTATCTTCTATGTTCCTGCCCTCGAGCAGGAGCTCATCCTCCATCAGTTTACTTTGTACTTGTTGCAAGGGTCGAACGTATCGAAAGTATTCATACACCTTATAACCGATCATGAGGGTGCCAATCACTGTAACACCCATACAGACGCTCACAACACCTTTATGTAATCTATCGAATAACCTCTCCTTCTTTCTTTTCTTGTAGAATCTCGGATCCATCACTGGCGAATCTTGCTCGATTGCTCGTTAACAAACGTGGATCCTCGCTCACGCTGAAAATAACATTACGTAAGTATCACGACGTCGCGGCGCAACATTTTGGAATATAGATAACCTCGAAACAAGAAAATGTCGGAATTGCACGTAAATTTATATTTTTGATAATTTTGTAAGGACCGCTCACCTGAAAAGTGTTTATTTCAGTTCGTTCAGACTTATGTACAGATTGAATTTTTCGTCTAATCGACTTTTTTACTGAATACTCGGCGAATCAAAACTGCTTAGAAAGGGTATCATGCCGGCATCATGCCGCACGATATCCTGAGCGATTAAGTATCACAGTTCTCCACTGTATGGCGCTATATTTTGCAAAGTTAATTTCGATGTTGCGATTGTGAGTTTTGTACGTAAAACAGTATAACCGAAAATTAATACTAATTTGTATTCGAAATTTCGACATTACGATCTGCCAACACATCGTCGTGATGAAAGAATATTATTATTGACAAATACATGCAACCTGTTATTGCAGGTAGGTATTGTGAATGAAAATATAAAATAAAGCATCACATAAAAGGAAAATACATTTAAGCAATACTTAACATAAAATTTATAATTTTTTTTAATTTATAAAAATCTTAAGTGAATATATTTATTATCTCAAAGAATATTAATATATTTTGATTTAAATTTTTTTTTCCATTAGAAACAAACTGCTATTTTTAACTGTATCAGAGTAAAAAAAAAATGCAAAAGTTATCATGCTTATTGATAAGAGGAAAGAGCAAAGTTTACATAAAAAAATATAGAATTTTAGCAGATGCTTTTATATCAACATTTGTTTATTATAAGAAATTTATCGCAGCAAAAGAAAGAAAATGAACCTATATTATGAATTGTATGAATTTTGTTAAGCATATTTCATTAGATATAAATGTAAAGTTTCTAAAATAGTCTATAATTAATATATGTCAATTTATTTTATTTAGTTGTGATACAATTAAGGAAATTTAACAAAATAACATTTTTTTCTTACATTTATTTACATACGAGAGAATTGTTGCAGGGTTAAAATTTGAATTCCCTTCAATTCAAATAGTAAATAATACATAATACAATTCACAAAATACTTGCATTTGCGGACTGTACAAAATTTCCACAAAATTTAAAAGTCAGTTTAGGCATGAAAAATTGGAAGCATTCATATGAGAAACTTTTCACTAATTTTTTACACTCTTTATATTAAAAAGTTTAAATTGTCTGAGTCACAGCCCTAATATCTAATTGTAAGAAATGCAGTTAAAAATCATTCTTCGTCGCATATGCTATATCTTTAAATAAAAAAGTTTAGCAACAACATTTATTTGAATCCTCTGCTTTTAATTCTCTAAAAACTCATCAAATATCTTTGAATCAATGTCTAATACTATCTCGTCCAAGGATGGGCCTTTCGCAGAGACTGGTAACTCTAAATTTGAAACAGATAAATTAGTCATGTATATACATGGTGATAATTGAGAATTGCTGAAATTGAACTGTTATCTTGTAATGACTGAACAAAACAAAATTCAAGATTATTATAGGAGAAATCTATTATTTTTATTAATATATAATGTAAAAAGAAAATATATTTTTTTAACTTATGATAATAAAATTATGAGAGATAAGCAAAAATGAATTTGGCTCAGTGTATTTTTAAAATGTAAATTTAAATATTATGAATATTATACACTGTGAATATTGTACGCATATTATGCCAGTTGATGCAAATTCTCATATTCTTGTTAGATATGCCATAGTATCAATTGGAAAGTTGCAAAGAACTATTATTTTGTAAAGAATGTACTATGCAGAAAAAAATGACAATCATATCTAAATAAGAAAAGAGAATGCTCACGGTATAGGAAGATTTCTGCCTTAGAAATAAAACCTCTGAAACCTATAAATTCACTTAGAGTGTATGATATCTATTGCTGAATACCAATTCCACTTTTTTATCGGCAGAGAAAAAATTATATTTGAAGTTTTACCGAAGTAACACGGAGGCGAGAGAGGCAGAGAGTCCCAGCAAACGAGAATGAATTGAAATAGATTAAAATGGATTCAGAAATACGAATTCATGAATGTTAAAATGAATCCTTTTCAATCTTGAATGCATTTTTATTCATTCATAGGAATGGCATGGAGTATATATATATATATTTCTATGCTTTTCAATCTAAAAATATTATAGTATTTTGTATGCATCGTGAATACTGCTTAATTTAAAATTCTGAATAGGAAATGCAGTTTTTCAATCCAGTTGAATCTAAAAATAATATGGGCCATTTCCGTGCATTGTGAATACTGCTTAATTTAAAATTCTAAATAAGAAATACAGTTTTTCAATACAGTTGAATCTAAAAATAATATTAGCATATTATTATATTATTTCCATATTAATAATATTAGCCTATGCATTGTGAATACTGCTTAAATTCAAAATTCTGAATAGGAAATGTAGTTTTTTAATCTAATTGAATAAAAAAAAAGTTTTTTTTTAATGGCTCATTTTCTTAAAATTGATTTTCTTAAAATACGGATTCAAATGGATTGAAGATTTTCAATCCATTTCAATCCATTTTCGTTTGCTGGGGGGGGGGGGGGGGGAGG